CGTGAGCCACCACGCCGGGCCAGGGATGTTAACTAAAATCAGTCTTTTCAAAACCTAGATTTTCAAATGATAATGAATTTAAGACTAGGAGACTGGAATATTGAAGCCTATTAAAAAATACATATCCTTGCATTGTTAGGTTAATAATAACTATCATGGTGACAAGTCAAGTAATATATAAATATTGGCTTCTCTTCAAAGAAATGTTATTTTTATTTGAAGGAATGGGACGAGACCTGTGATTGGTCGTATTCTGTGAACAAGATTCATTACCTGAGTTGTACCTAGGTTTTTTGTAACTACATCAAAAAAACTTTTATACTGTACTTACTAATGTTATGGCAGTTATCATTTATTGTTTTAGAAGCTTGGTATACTATATGGGTTTTTTCATTTTTAAAATTTCCCTTCTGTGTTCCAAATTTTAATTTAGTAAGCCAACCTTTGCTGTACAGTAGTAGTATACTGTATGGACAAAACAATGGTAACAACTATGTATTTTAAGTGGCCTTTTTCCACATCTAAATTGTTCTTAGTGAAAAGCTTTCGTGGGAGCATTTTGAATTCACTTCATGTTCAAAGCTATTAGTCCCAGATAAAGGAAAGGAGAATAGGAGGATGTGATTGTCAGATGAAAGGGTAAGGGAGATAAGCAAAAATGGGATAAATAATGAAACCGGTTTCAAGACAAATTGCAGTTAAACAATTTGGACTAGTGAGGTATTACCAGTAGACTCGTTTTTTACCTTTTAATGTGCCTAAAACCAGGGTTCCTGATTAATATTAGGATAACATCGTCATTTATTGGGTGTTTCAGAGAGTAACGGTTTCTCTAATGTTATTTCCAGACTCTAAAATAGAGCTCAAGCTTGAGAAGAGAGAACCACTAAAGGGCAGAGCAAAGACTCCGGTAACACTCAAGCAAAGAAGAGTTGAGCACAACCAGGTATCTTTAGTTTTATTTTAATCACCGTGTACAGGTATAAATAACCTCCTGACAACACTAATCCGTGTTTTAGTCTTTAATTGTTGACACCCAGATTCCAGCACGTTCAATAAATTTAATTCTGTTGTTAAATAATACTAAAAATCTAAACTTTATGGGTTTTGTCAGTAGTGTAGCCTGCAATTACGGCAAAAGCAACTTTTTAATAAATGTCTCATTTGTGTTTGAGTCTGTGCTAAACGTAGTTCAAAACCAGTTATATGGCATTTTGAAAGAAATATTTTAAAAGTTGGAAATATCTAGACACTTTTGATACAATTTCTTTAAAAAGCAATAGAAGGGTTTTATATTTGTGTCTTTGTCTCTAGATTTTTGACTTTGATTTTGTGTTTGCCTGTCTTATCTTCTGTGATTCTTCCCTAAACTCAGATGCTAGTCTGGTCGTAAGACTACAGTTTTCTTTCCTTATTTCAGATGAAAATTTACCTTTTCTATTGTGGGAGAGGCATTTCAGTTTTTCAAAAGGGAAATGTAGGAAACTAAGGAGAAAATAAGCATAGGTGTAAATGAACAGAGAACAAATTATTGACTAACCTAGTATTGTTTACAGAGAACAAATTATTGACTAACGTAGCATTGATTTGGCTGATGCTTTATAAGACAGCTATTCCTAGAGTCATTTTCCTTACCCTTACTATGTCTAGCTGGAAGATTTGTCTAGTTGGTTATCTTTTCCATCTCCTGTTTGTCACTTTTTTTGTTTGTTTGTGATGGAGTTTTGTTCTTGTCATCCAGCTGGAGTGCAGTGGCGTGATCCCAGTTCACTGCAACCTCCAACCCTGCCGGGCTCAAGCGATTCTCCTGCCACAGCCTCCCAAGTAGCTGAGATTACAGGCACGTGCCACCACGCCCAGCTAATTTTTGTATTTTTAGTAGAGGCGGGGTTTCACTGTGTTGGCCAGGCTGGTCTCGAACTCCTGACCTCAGGTGAGCCACCTGCATCAGCCTCCCAAAGTGCTGGGATTACAGGCGTGAGCCACTGCGCCCGGCCTGTTTGTTGTTTTAAAATCAAATCTTTAGAGGAGTTATTCTTGATTCCTTAAGCCAAGTCTCTCTCTTCATTTGATGTAGTTGATAAGTTGAATTTCAGAACCGTTTGTTAGAAATGAGCTTTGTTACGAAAACGTACAGAGCATTGAATAAATGAAGATTTTGTTAACATAGAACCAAATACTGAAATACATATTTTATTGCCCTTTTATGTAGTAGTCCTAACAAATAGCTTCAGGAGCATGCTGAAGAATAAGGAAATAACAAGAGAACTTAGGAAAATTTGGTGAAGCACACTGAAACCGACAAGCATGGAGAATTTTGGTCCAGAGTTTGAAGTGAAGATGATGTGGTGCCAGCAAGAGCATGTGACTGATCAGATACTAGGTTAAAAGAAGGGGAGGAGACATAGTATTAAAGATGGTCTAAGGGATAATTGAGTTGACGAATCTAAACTGAGGGGCAGAATAGTCAAAGGAGTGTAAGTTTAGATGACAGGCAGAGTTAGACAGTGGCTTTATTGCAGAAAATTTAAAACATGTAGAAGAGTGGAGGAAGAGTTTAATGACCCTCCAGTCATAGATGTGCCGCAGTTGTCAGGGTTTTACCAGTCTGGTTTCATCACCCCACACTCTCCAGCTTTTTAAATTACTTTTTTTTTTGAGACAGAGTCTCACTCTATCGCCCAGGCTGGAGTGCAATGGCACCATCTCGGCTTACTTGCAACCTCCGCCTCCTGGGTTCAAGCAGTTTTCCTGCTTCAGCCTCGTGAGTAGCTGGGATTACAGGCTCCCGCCACCATGCCCGGCTAGTTTTTGTATTTTTAGTAGAGAACAGGTTTTCACCATGTTGGCCAAGCTGGTCTCGAACTCCTGACCTCAAGTGAGCCACCTGCCTTGGCCTCCCAGATTGCTGGGATTACAAGCATGAGCCACCGCGCCCGGCCTTAAATTGCTTTTGATTTTTTTTGTTTTGCTTTTTCCTGGAGTATATTAAAGCAATCTTTGACATGTTTCACACATTAAAAAGTCAGCATTGTAGCATATATCTCTGAAAGATAAGTGCCGTTCCAGTGACAATGCCAGTATCACACCTAATAAGATTAATAATTTATTCGTGTCTAATTCATGTTTAAATTCCTCTAGTTTCAGTAATGTTTCATTTATGATTATGTTGTTCAAATCAGGATCCAAACAGGATCCACATATCTGGTTTGATTTTTGGTTGTTTTTCTCTCTCAAGTCTGTAGCTATTACCACTGTAACTGTTTCTCTTCCCTCCATTTATTTGGTGAAGAAACTAGGTCATTACAGAATTTCCCAACATTCTGGATTTGTTAGGTTGCTTCTTTATGTCATTTAATTAGCTTCTGTATTCGCTGCATTTCCTGTAGAGTGGGTTAGATCTGTAGTGAGGGTATGTAGTAAACCTTTCTGTGATAGAAATTTTTTATATCTGTGCTATCCATTACAGTAGCCACTAGCTATTGAATACTTGGATGGTGACTGGTGGGGCCGAGAAACTCTCAGTTTTTCTTTGTTGTTGTTTTTGTTGTTTTGAGATGGAGTTTCACTCTTTTGCCCAGGCTGGTATGATCTCAGCTCGCCACAACCTCTGCCTCCCAGATTCAAGCGATTCTCCTGCCTCAGCCTCCTGAGTAGCTGGGATTACAGGCATGTGCCACCACACCCGGCTAAT